TTTCGAGGCAAAGGAATGCGTGGGACTTAGTCTGCTTTCATCGAAAGTTGCCGCCGCCACGTCGCCCGTGCCCAGCGCAAAGTGCGTTAGCCTCGCTAACACATGAAGGGCGCAGTTATTGCTCCCGATTTTTTGTAAAGGAATACCCATGAAGTGGACCGTCCTTGAAGGGCCATACAAGTCTACTAAGCGCTGCTTGGCGAGTTCAGAGATATCCTCCTTCGACTTGGCCATTGAGTCCATGGAGTATATCGTCCCACCAACTCTCGCCGTGGCTGCGTAGTGGCTCTGGCTATGCAGCACAATTGGCTGAAGAACCATGCCACTCGTCGGCACTCGGTGGAATCCAGGGGAGTCTAGCAGTGGAGCAGATAGCTGAACGGCTTGCGGAGGGACCACTCTTTGTTCGCCCACTTGTCTCTAAAGCATCGTCATCCAAACATCCAGGATGCTATCAGTAATCATCTCGCCATTGGTAATCAGCCAGTCACGATCAGTGAGGTCCACAACTATTTCCGGCAAGGGATAAGACGGACCAGCAGGTATACGTATCCAGTCGAGAAACCCTTGTCCCTCTCTGGGGTTCTCAGCACCAGCGGAAGGCTCAGCGCCAATTTCGATATTCTCGTTCTCGTCTCGATCTCGTCACGGATCGAGACGAGATCGAGACCTAACGACCAGACTCGAGAGCGAGACGAGATTCATTCGTGTTGACGTTTGTCTCGGCTTCGTCCTTCTCTGTGTGTTGTGTTTTGCTTGACCTCTCGGATTCGACAAACTCGCTTGAAATCTGTCATGGGTGCCTTCCCTGCCTCTGACCGCATCTTGGTCATATCCTCCATCAGAGGTGTGCATTTTGAAGTGTCTAGTTTCCTCCCACTTTGAGGCAGGTCCCAGTCGACGGGAGAGACCTCCATCACAGGCTGTGACGCAGGCCCGCAATCCTGCTGCCTCAGTCTACCTTACTGATTACTGGCGAGTGTTTCCGCTTGCGCCCAGTCGAGAATCGAGAACGAGATCAAGGTCCGCTTGATTTTGAACGAGAAGCCTCGAGCGAGAACAGTGATAGTCGGCCACCAGCGAGACGAGATCGAGATTGCTCAGGTCACGTTTTTGCGAACTCGGTTCAGCGGGTGCCGAAGCCTGCGGCTCAGTCGATAATGACGGCTGTTGCTGGGTTTGTGAATGAGCTTGCCGAGTGACATCAGAAGGCTGGGTTCCACCAGGGGCATCCCCAATTTCATGCCCAATTCCGGAGCCCGTGGGAATCACCGCATTTGCCAGAGGGTGTTGAGTTCCCTGTACAGTGTGAACGTCGTCGGCGGTCAAGTCCAGGGTGATGATATCCTCGTCGAAAGGTGGTATGATTGCCTCGTACCCAGCATCAGGGTGCTCATCATCCAGTGCGTCCCCAATGAAAACAGGCCCGTCCCCACTTGATTGATCTGGCTGAGCAGTACTGCTAGCAGGTATCGAAGGTATGACTCGCCGAAGAGCACCTCTGGCATTCTGAAACCAAGTGTCCAGGGCACCTGGGATGACCGGCTGCAGAACTAGTCGCTGCAAGGCAACATCCATCTCTCGATTAACCTTACGCCGCTTGAACGGAGCCCCATTATCCAGCTGAAGAACATCTACTCGAACTTGGTTGATAACCCGGTGCACGACATTTATCCACTTCCATATCACTAGATGACCCTCCTCTGCAAAGAGGCCATTCCACTTACGGTGGAATCCTTCTTGAGAGTTATTTGTGCGAGGCAAACCTAGCCTGACTCTCTCCCACTTGTTCCACCACGAAGGCTGAAAAATCCCGCTAAGACCATAAGTCTCGATAAAATACGACAGAACAGCGTTGCTATCAGCCTGTGGGAGAATATCACAAGAAGCGAAACACGCTTCGAGAAAGATTTCCACAGGCAGAAAGGCGACGGCCATCAGATTGTAATACGCCTTGCGCCTAGTCGACATCACGTCGGGGGCCGCGCGACGTATCACTCCAAGCTCTTTAAACTTATCGAGTACATTTCTGGCCAAATGGAAGAGCCAGAGGCAAATTTCAGCACGTGGAAATACAGTCCGAAAGGCAAGAACAGCGCTCTGCTCAAAGTCGAAAATACAACTGGTGATATTTTCACCGAGAGTACTACGAACAACCGTGAAGAACTTTATGTAGGTCCCTTTTAGTTTGATCGGTAGCAAAGCGAATATGATTGGGACCATACGTCCAGATACATGACGAAACAGAATAGTATATTGTTGGGCCCATAGAAGAGGGGCAGTTTTGAAAGTACCATCACCCGAAATATGTACAGCGGCACTACAAGACAATAATGAAGAAACCAAAAGTTTATCACTCCACACGAGAATTCGGTCCTTGTCATCCTTACCGGAGTCATAGACAAGTGTAGGACGAACCTCTTGCCCGATGATAGCGTGACTGAACTCAGGTGGAATCTCAAACCCACAACGCTGCTTAGGAGCTTTCGGCAGCGGGTGGTTCTTTTCCTTGAATCTACGGAGGTTCTCCATAACCGAAGACCGCTTTGGCAACTGCTCGATGTACTGAGGAGGCGACTTTCCCGTGACGTAGTCGTAAACCTCGGCTGGTTTCTTCTCGAATGCTGACAGTTCCATGGCTTTTTTCATGGAATTCACCAGAACCACCTTCCCTGCATTCGGGCCCCACAAACATGCTCAGCCACCTAATCAATATTCTTCACAACTAACATGTTGGCCGATCCGTTAAGGTCGCCTAAGATAGTCAACCGAGCTTTGCACTTGAGACTTCCTGCAGGAGGTTGATCAGACTTGACGCATCTCCAGCCGCTCCTCGAACGTTCGGGCTCGTTACGATCCCTCCTGAATAGGTAGCCTTTGAAAGACTTCACGTAGAGACTGAAATTCAAACATAATGTCAAGAGGATCACCCAGAGCTAGAACCAATCTTTGCCCTCAAAAGTTCTCGTGCGCAACGAATTATGCGCTGAAATATCGCAGTATGTATTTTAGATCACTATGGCGCGCGCTTTTCGGACTGCGCTCAGATATGATTGCGCTGTGATGTGGGGCAGCCCTGCATTTTGGTTCCAAGGAAGGTATTGGCAAACTTGATCAACAGAGTTCGTCATTTACCCGGTCCGGTAAAGGATCTTTCCTCTAATAGTTGAGAAGACGTATTGTTGATCGTGTGGTATATACAGTCACTCGTGATTTTACCTCGTGACAATGCCAATGACAAAGAGCTCAAGTTTAATAATAGCACCGATCAATCGATCAACTCTAAGCCTTCATCTGCTCCCCGACCGAAGGTATCCTCGAATGCATCCTCATGCGAAGGAGAGGGAATTCGATCGAGTGAGCTGAGTGGGAGCTGTCCATGTTGTTCATGTCCCACCACAGCGCATCGCCGAAATTGAAGTTTCTCAGGGGGTATCTTAGCGAGATCATTAGTCAGGCGAAGTTGAAATTTGGAATTGAGGTTGAAAAGGTATAGTCCTTATAATTTATAACCATACCTATTATATAATCCTTCATGTGCTATTGACAAAGAACTGCGGGTTAATCCAAATTCTTTCACCCTCACCCCTGCCTAGTTTGTTTCCTCTGTATGAACTCTCTAGGGGCACCTGGTGGCGGGAAGCCCCATCCGACAGAGGAGCAGACTATGAGGACCAATGGGAGGTACCATACGTATCATAAGATACCTCGTCGTATTAGTGAGAGCTTAGACGTTTGTTTTCGGTAGTCTGCTGACGATCTCCCACTCATTCAGGTACGTGCACAATCTGATAGCGAACCCTACAGACCCCGTCGAAGCCGCTAAGGCAGCAGCAATCTCTGTCGCTCGAGGGATAGGCCCCGAGACGGTGGAGGAGCGTCTGGCACTGGACGGCCACTCCTCTCAATTGCCGTCTGAGGCGGCCATAGGTGATACGGTAGACCACCTTAACCACTCCTTGTACGGAATTTCCATCACATTAGTCATATAACATCACCGTTTAAGGGAAGTGAATCGTTCCAGATACCCGTTTCTGGTCCACCCATAAGTTCCTCGGCGTGCTAGGGTTTCCAGTACCCATCTGCCATCTAGGATTCTCATCGCTAGACCCATTGATAGTCCTTGGATCTTTGAACATGTTCACTTCATGTTGCTGCTCAGGACAGCTCGTACACGCTATAACGACGAGCAAGCCCCACGACACTGCGCCAACAGTGGTCTTCAGAAGGCCTGCTTGACCTCGCTTGTGGCAACATCTTCACGAGCTCTCTGCTAATCAACTACGCCAAGTTGAGAGGGATAGAGCTCGTCAGCATTATACGGGAACTGAAAGAGGCTGCGGCTACTGTCTCAACCACTGGTTGGGCACCCTCGATGGTGGAGCATGTCAGAGAGCTCATGAAGTTATCCACCATTAAGAAGCTGGACATGAACTATGTCGGTTTCTTCTGCTGCACTCTGGGCCTCATGGACATGCTGGAGTCCCATCAAATGGTAAGGCGGTGCCTTGGTGCTTTGCGAACAGCTCACGCAGTAGCACACATCCTTATCGTTGGAGGGGTTCACGTGCAAGACTAGTTCCTGTCAGGCAGTTGTACTATCCGGCCTAGCTACTTTACATAAGCCTATTAGGAAGACCATCGCAGAGCACTTAGTCCGAACCTATGATACGTCGGCTCAGCTCATGAAAGTGCTCGAGATGCTGCGAGAGTTCATCACTCTGTAGGAACAGGGCCATAGGCATTAGTCCTTGTAACCACACTGATGGTTCCAGGTCTACACTCGAACAGCTTGGCAGACTGGGGCTTGACACTATACAGCTTGATACATGTGAGTGCTGGGACCTCTTTCATGGCACTGTCTATACCGTTAGCAGTGAGGTCACACTTCCTATTCCCTCAGTACAGCTGCGGTCCCGTCAGTGGACGAGTTTCCTCACGGAATGCAGGAGACCTATGAAGGGGGCACTTGAGCTCATCGCTGTAGGCATGGGTCACTGAGTCGCTCTGTGGTGCTCGGGCTCCAAGGGTGCTCTCGCTTTAGGCAATCTGGAGAGCTAACACCAAACAACATGGACCTGAGGTAATTCGGCGATTACTCAGTAACCAACCGCTCTCAATTCGAAGCGGCGGCGTCGATCGGAATGAGCTATTATCACTTTCATACGAGTGCTCGTGACTGGTGCATTCCTTATTAGTGTGCTAGTTGGAAGGTTTCCTTATTGTCCTCAGCGCATACCAGCAGCAGAGTTCTATAACGACGCGATAAGCCAGACAGATGCTCTCCTGAGGCACGAAGTGACGTGAGCCTCGGGGACCGGTTAGGCAGTGCTGCTGGATGATACATCTCAACCTCTCATTCGTGGCCTAGACCAGCAGTGGACTGATCCCCCTGTTTTTATAGGAGCTGGATCATCAATGTGAGCCTCAGTGCTTCACGAGGGTACACTGGGACTAGGGATCGTGCTACGAGCTCGTCCTCGTCCTCATCAACCATATCACCACCACCGGAAGCGACTTATGACAATGACAATACTCACGGTGAGTCTATCGAAGTTCTGCACATCTGATTCCATATCTCGCCGAATCTTTGCGTCGACCTCTCAGCTGTTCGAACACCCCCTCGAAGTGACGGTAGTCTAGTCTCTTCGCCGAGCATCTCCCGGGACAGCTTTGACCCAGCAGGGTCGTCCCCGTCAGGCAATTCGGATATTGATGATAGTAGACCTCCTAACCGTCGTCGGCGTGGGTTTATGATCCCGTGGAGTAGTAAGCCTATTTGCCGCTGGTTGGTCAGCTCGTCCGGATGGGACTGAGATGGAGCCCATGCTAGCTGAGGAAGGAGGGCTCATGCGCCGCCACATGCGGAGGGGTCTTGGAGTAGCATCGCGCCAGTTGGCTGACTTCGGAGTGTTGACTACTGCACCTTGCGTGTTGGACGTGGGAGCTCGAGTAGTGATATGGATCTATCACTTCTGTGTTTGTGATCACCTTAGTCTAGGTCCGTGTGCTGAGGCTAGAGTCCGAGCACCATGCTCGTGAAGTGTCACAGCAACATGCTTTACTCAGGGTATCACTACCGTATCACTCTAGAAGCTGCTGCCCGGTGTTCGCAGGCTCAATCATCGGGTATGATGCTCCCTGGAGGAAGGATCTTGATCATGGCTCAAGACATCTTTACAATACTCAAGGTTAGGAGAGATCACTTGGTAATAGATCCCTTTGGAGGTAGCCCATATCCGCATGCCCGGATTTGCTACAGCCGCTATCGTAGTATTATCGTAACGCTTCGCGAAGTGCCGACATGTGCGTATGGATGAGTTCAGAGGTCTACTTTGAATTTCGTATATGTCGTTTTCTGTAGTTGGAGGATTCCCTACGACAACTGGCGGCCTTTGATGCAGACGAGCTGAAGCGAGTGCTCAAAGTAGGGCGAGGTATGTAGCTGTTACGGAAGCATGCCCCATTGTAGGTTCAATTCCAGGGAGAGCAGGGAGTGGACGAAGGTGGAGTTCAGAAGGAATTCTTCCTACTGTTAGTCCAGGAGGTGATCCACCAGCATATCCTGCGATTTGCGACTCCAGAACGGTAGATGTACGACGAGAACTACGCTATGTTCGAGTATGACAAGGACACTCGGACGTTTTGGTTCTCTAACAAGTGTCTTGAGAGTAACCTCCAGTACGAGCTCTTCGGGATCGTCATTGGTCTCGCCATATACAGCGGGGTAAGGGAAGGAGCGTCATCTGCAAGCTCAACGACCTCACCTCTATGTAGGTTATTCTGGACGCCAACTTCCCCTTGATAGTGTATAGGAAGCTCCTGTCTGCAGACAAGGAAGGCCGCCTTGACAGGCCTAGCTTGGAGATTCTAGAGAAGGAGTTCGATCCTGAGTTCGCTCAGGGGATCAGAAAGGTATATCATATTGTTGCTCGTCGGAGGGATATATGTTCCTACGGCAGTTCCTGGACTACGATGGTGACGTCCAAGCGGCATTCGGACTAACGATGTCAACGGATTACGAGTAAGTAGCCTATCGCAATGCGGGCTAGTTGTGACGGGAAGAGTTCGTGTAGTGCTGTATGGCATCATCGATCTCCGTTGTTGTGCCGTTCTCATGCTCCCACGTTAGGAGTTCATAGGTACTTCGGTGAGCGTGTTGTTGTCGACTTGATATCAAACGGTCGGAACGTTGCAGTTACAAACGCTAATCGGTACGAATACGCGGAGAAGTGAGTGACTATTGTATGGTACTGCAGCTTGTAACTTGGTTGCCAATTCAGGCTTATCAACTGGAAGGTCAACGAGTCCATCGCGCGGCAGTTCTGGTCATTCAAGCGGGGCTTCGACAAATGTGTAAGTCATTTGCATCTTTCCTTGTTATATACTGGGTCATCTCCTGCTCCAGTTTCGAGTTAGCACCCATCGATTCGTGTCTCCTCCAGATCGGGCAGTCTGTTTTATTCCAACGGCTGTTCAAGACTCCGGCTGACTTGGAGCTCCTCATTTGCGGTAGAAAGGAACTCGACTTCGAAGCGTTACGGTCCAACACCATTTACGATGATGGCTTTACTAAGGACTCCCCTGTCATTCGGTAGTCCTCTCCTTGTATCTGTGTCGTAACAGATGGACTGTTAGGTGGTTTTGGGAAGCAATACTATCTCCAGGATGCACTGAAGATGATAAGTCCAAGCTACTGCTCTTCATCACAGGTCGGGCGGGAGTACTACTACTATGGTCATCATGCGGTAGGTAGCAGTAGAGCGCCTCCGAACGGGTTGAACTCTGTCGAGTCTCGAATAACAATCTCCCGAATGGGACCAGATTCGGACCGTCTCCCACAAGTGAGTCTTCTGATCTCGAATGGCATCCAGCACAAGCTGTGAGGCTTTATATGTGCGAATTCTGAATTGGAGTATCCTTATTTATCCGCAACCACGTCGACGGTTTCCGACTGGCTTTGGTATCGTGGGTCGGCTGTCGAATGGGATCCTCGTGCTCCCCCTCATCAGGCCCACACGTGCTTCAACCACCTTCTACTACCAGAATATTCATCAGCGGAGAAAGTCCGTAAGATGATAAGATTGGCGATTGAGAACTGTACTGGTTTTGGCCTTATATGATCAATGACAATATGTCTAACTCTATAACTCTTTTGTGTCAATATCATGCCTCTACTTTCGACGATATCCTACACTGTCTTGTTGTACAATCCTGATCTAAATGACGCTAAAGTAGTCGCTTCCTAATTTGCCGTTGATCAATCAGTCTCAGCAGGCCTCGTTTGACTATGGCTAGCCGAGATTTGAGTACCCTATTCTGTCGTGAGCGGCAACAGCAACAAGCACAGTTCAGCTTAGAGAGACAGTGGACCTTCCGACACGCAGTAGGTGCGTCATCACTTCTCCCTGGCTTTGGATCCGTCGCGTTAGATCACTGTTATCAAACTACTCTATTGACATTTGAAGAGCATTGATCATAGGAAAGTCCCTCCCTCAGGTTTTGCGCGGAGATGCGAAGAAGCTAGAGTCTCTCGTAGATGGCGAGGCGGCACATGCTGCAACATCCATCAGGATGGCCACCGTATCAGCATGTGAAGAGTGCGGTGGTAGGAAGGCGCTCATTCGCTTGCAAGTCCCTCCAGCTGTTCCTGCTGCTGCTCTCAGCATCTCTATCCCGATCGTTTCTCGGTCCCTCGGCCAAAGTCTGCTACCTCTGCCATCGACTGCTCTGTGGAAGGTGTCGCTCGTTCAGCGGTCGTCCAACATCTGTTTTGCCCCGAGCAAACAGTGCAAGCAGCGGAATTTGTAAACTGTGTGAGAGCTGTGCAACGTGAGCACCCTATTCTCGCTTGCCGTCAGCTCAATAACCTCGATCCCCTGTACGCTTATGTCAATGTGATAGTCTCATCTGTTGAAAGCTGTCTTGGCGATGAACATGCAAATCATGTTGGGGTTCAGTGGGCTCTTATTCAGACTAGTGAAGCTACTCCAGTACCATCACAATCCCCTCGAAGGACTCCCGTCTAAGCGGCAAACGATGATGCGGATCCATAACGACACTTGCGCCGCCACGACTGAGTTCGACAGCGTGATGAGGAATTACGAAGGCCTGGCTCGGTGAGCTGAATCTCTGAGGACCCCTGGCCGACGTGGGTTATATCCTGTAACAGGTTGGTGACCCAGCTGGGCTCTACTCCGCCCGAGATTGCAGCGGAGGTCACTCCTCTGGAGAAAGCCGTCAATCAGCGTTTACGAGTAATTATTGCGTAACCGACTCAGCGGCATGCGCTGCTCAGGTCCTCGTGGAGTTACAGCGTGAAGTGGCAGCGTTGCAGTCAAGTGAGTTGCAACAGACCCTCTCCCCCGCGTTGATCGTCCCTCTGCACCGTCCTCACTGCTAGTACATGATTGTGTGTTAGCTAATGCAACGGATACTAGGGTCCAGTCTGGGCTCCTCCGATGGCTGCGGAACACTATCAACGACGCCAAATTCCAGATAGCAGTGTCACGTAAAGTGAGGCTTCCCTTGCCGATTTAGGGCTGCCATGTCCGTAGCAGATGTTGCGTACTGAGACACGGCCGCAATAGAGAAACCCTCAATAATGCATGGACGACGATTGTACTCCGTACCATTGTTCACGGATACTTCCATTTCTGTCAACTTTTTGAGTTGTGTCACAGTCGAGCGCAGCCGTGCAAATTGTGTATACTGCCAGCGCACCGAGAATATCACGGGATTCAATAACCGACTGAGGGGAAGGGTCATTCATGAATTGATGGGTGACGGAAAGTATCATACAGAGGCAGGTGGAGATTCTTGTATAGTCATGACTCACTGAGTGCATGATAACTCTTTCAGGGGTGAATTGGGGATTACGCCACTTTTGTACCAATCCACTTTTGAACCAGATCAAGTAGCGCTCGCCCCAATTTTGAAAACTTCCCCTCGGGAAGCGCTTCGCTCCGCGAACCACTTTTGTGCTAAAATCGTTCCTTTTGTGGAAAATTTGACCCAGTTGATTGGGCTTGCAACACTCTCAAACCACTTCTGAACCAAATGGAATAGCGCTCGCCTTAGAACAAACATGGCAAATAGTTGATCGAATAGCTCTCCGTCACGGTCGAAAACAAAGCAGAGCTCCTGACTCAAGGAAGTACTATTCCTGATGACATTGTGGATATGGGGGTGGCTATGCTCTGTCGGATGGTCAGGTGAATTTCATGGAGAGTATGAATATGTCGGTCACGTCTTCAGGTTCTCTTGTACAAGCCCTACGCCAGCTGTATGGTTCAAAACGTGTACTCAATGTTTCGGTCCAACAGCTCTGCTGTTACAGCAGAGTTACGGGAGTAATTTATGCGGAGTTTTTGTTATCGCTAGACGCACTGTGGTTGTTTTTAACCGCCAGTGGTTTCGTCTTTCGCTGTTCGATGAAGCTAGTATGAGATACCATTCGGCTGAATGCATTACTAGGAAAGAAATTAGCAGGTTTCCCGAAATCTTTCCCACGCCAGCTAGCATGTTGTTCTCACCTGAAGGGAAATTCAATACCTGAGTTGAGTTTTTTATGAGAGTTCTAAGAGTGTAGTTGTCAATTAAATATTCCACAAATAATTCCTTAATATCGGACGACGATGATAAGCGTTCATTGATCACCCAAGTTGGGTGACCCAACTATGTCTGCACCCTTATCAGAACTCTTGCCGCTATGTATCAAAACCACAGTTACTAGTGAACATAATGCCTAATCTATTGATGATTTCCGAAACCATATCTTTAACTACGTTACTTAACGTACGAAGTATAACCACTAGCGGCTAGTAAACCTCAACACAGTGTACTAACTTGAGCTGTAGCCTAAGTCCCAGGCCAGTAAGAATCAGAAGCTTAACTCACTCCTGTCCTTAGTCTAACCTTTAAGAGCACTAGGCAAGTGCTCGAGCAAGGCCTCAGCACGCATGCAGAAATACGTGACGCCACCGGTGTCACGGCGCACAATACAATAACAGTAATAACAGAGTAATACAATCAAGTATAAACACCGGGAAACCGTATGATGGTTCATGAGTCTCCGTACACTGCGCTGGAGCGCACAACGGCTCGTAATAATTACGACATAATTTAGGAGTCTACACTTGTAGACTACAAGGAATGAGGTTATACGTTGAGACTTGTTAAATTGCGACATGTATACTCTTCGGTAGACGCAGGACTGTCCTCGGCTCTCCCTCGCAGTGAGGGCTTCACTCACAGTAGCGGAAGGCAGGTCGTTTCAAGACGCGTGAAAAAAACCCAAGTCGTAAAATTTAACCCGTGCAAAAGCATCCCAAAAATTTAGTACAGAAGTGGAAGTAAAGTTTTACCCGGTGTCAAAAATTTACATTTTTATTTTTATTTAATACAAAACTTAATCGTTTGCGTGCGAAAAAGTCCTGATCCGGTATAAATCGCTCACCTATCATCGTTTAGTACAAAAGTGGTTTAGTACAGAAGTGGAGACACGGAATTGGGGGGGTGGAACTTGAAATAGCTCTACAGGTTCTCCGATTGGCTCAAACATGGGGCTCAAACTGGAGGGAGTTGACCATCATCTCGGTTCAGTGGTCCGATGAACAAATATCCCACATTAATTATGACTGTCTACCAAACCTGACTCCAGTTTAATCAGTGATAGATACTATACTGATATACATCATTGGAAAAGGCAGTGGCAACTCATTCGTCAGCCTCATCTCCACTTCGAAGTGTGCACTATGATGTTGCAAAGTCTAGGCTTAGCGCGATTAATGAATGACAGCCATTACACGCCAGTCACAGTCAGAACTCGAAAATGAAATGAGGTGACAACTCAAGCTCCAACTGTACTTCGAAATACACGTGCTCTCCAAATCATATATTAACGTACATCTCAGGTCAGTGATAACCTGCATTAAATAAAGTATACATCATTCGCTCATGTCCTTGATTGCAACAGCCGTGCCGATGAAAACAAAGACGACGCCGATGAGCATGACACTCCAGGCCTCGAACGTCTTCAGGGTCATTTGATTACCTAATTCAAAACGACTATGATAGGAATGATTGATATAGTTAATCTGTGGGGAATAAGACACAACCAGTCAGGAGCTGTCATCTGACGACATTACCTGTGACTAAACAGACGTAAAAATACGATGGTAGAATGAAACACGTGAGTGCACCGCTGGTGCTCCCTACGAGCTCAAATACCTGTGCTATTGATGGTGCCAATACGGCACATCCAAGCGACAGAAGGACCTGACGGTAATCTCCACAGAGGAGGAAATGCGAGTCAACCCACCGTTATTGCAGTTAGCAGCGTCACAACAGCCGGGCTCGCCCGCCCGCTATCGTCTGAGTCAAATCGAGACGGGTACAAAACCTGATACGCAGAGTTGGTCACAGGACATATAACGTTGCCAACACCCACCAGCAAAGCAGATTCCAGTCCAAATCTCGCAGGGAAAATGCAGAGGGGATACGCTGTCGCAATTGAAATAGCCATCGCTGATGACAACGGCATTCCTCGAGGGCTATGGCAAGGCGCTTACCAATGAAAGCTATGGTCACATCGATGCTATCTTTGAATAGCGAATTGTAATTGTACAGTATGTTATCTTTGGTGTCGAACCCCCAAGTGTAGACGCCAGCAAAGCCCACCCCATAGTATACAACAAAGCAGATGAGAACCGCCCAGAAGGACACTGACCGCATTCTGGTAGCCTAACGGAACGCATCATGGAGGCTTCAGCCCAATATTGATACCCGGCAAAGCCTTCGAGTCTCGGACTCTTTCAGTTCCGCATATATCGCAGGAACGTTCGATTGACATGCAAAGGCGAAGGTTGCCAAGGACATCGTACGAACAATCTATACAGTAGTACAGGTCCTGGAACTGAGCTCCAAGCTGACAGGAATCAATGCCTTACACCAGACGAACCACAGGCCGGAAGCAGAGGCAGCATGCTCTGCTCCTCCTGATGCCCCCTCATGATCGCTTGAAAAATGACAACGAAAACGAGTAAGAATACAGACACCACGCCTGAAGACAAATAATCGACAACAATGGTCATCAAGAGAGACCGTTGAGACCCCATGAGTGAATCCCTTCCAGAGCTTACCGATCAAGCTAAGAATTCGAAGCTCGTTGACTTTCTCGGCCAGGCAAAGTGGGTATAATACCACCAATACCAGTATACAGAGCATGATATCAGTGCCCGACGAGCTCTGAGCACTCTCGGCCGCGGTAGGTAGTGGGAAGGAGAGCAGTGCACAGGCGATAGTATAAGCTAGAACATGGATACCACATGATTAGTGTCTCACAAGCAGTGATTAGACATTGGACTTGCGCTGTTGAGACCCACCTATCTGTCCGATGGTAATGAGGTAACCAACAGCAGCACCAAAACAAAAGGTTATGACACTGATGATGGTGAAGAGGGCAAATCTGAGGCACCAAACAGAGCTAAAGAGGACCGCGTTCTCACCCTGCGATACCTTCGACCCCAAACTGGATTAGGACTGCAGCTGAAAGCCAACTTTTCAAACGTCTGGCACCTCGAGACGTCCATGCACTCCTGATACTCACTGCACAGTGCCGGAAAAGGATCAATGTTCAACCCACCTGGATATAACCGATGGTTATGTTCGAGAGAATGGCACAGACTAGTAGACACAGGGAAGCCACGAGATAGCCGGAGCTACGGAAAGCATAGGGTAGGGACAGAACTCCTGCGCCCAAGGTAGCCGTGGTGAGATTGAAGATTGACGACCTGAGGCTACTATTCATCGACGACTAACGTGAAGTGTCGGAGCGGTCAGAAGACTAGGCCGACAAACGCCGGTCAATCCGAGCCGGGAGCAAGACGAGAAGAGCTTAGTGCTCGGCTCGGGGATGAGTGTGATATTCACCTTTGCTGGCGTTACCATATCCCACCGGCCTCCATGAATTCCTCCCTCCGGGCTATCATCTCTATAGGGGTAATGCCGATTCCAGTTTGACTTGGTATATTCTACCGAAGATTGATGTGAATAGGAGTGAACTTATTAGTACTCACCTGTAGGTCATCGACTGTCACAATGGGGGCCTCTGGGATGTAGCCATGCTCGAGTTGCTCCTCCACTCGATCCACGAAGCCTCTGTTACCACCTGCGGTCTGGATGGAGAGGCACAATGACTGCTAGAGGTAAAGGAAACACCTTCTGTCCCTTCCGCGGGGCTCCACCACATCCAGTCGCCTGGGTTATCGAGGACAGGCTCCACCTTCAAGACGGCCTGAGGGCTATTGATAGCAAGGATGGGAGAAATGCCTAGCACCAGGGATCGAACCAGCGACCACTCGCGGTGGCGCATGGTCCTGTTATGCTACTACGATAGTCCACGAATCATGGCATTCATTCAGTAGGGACCGGCGAGAACCGACCGGTTCTTACGTTGATCGAATCAGCCGTATAAGCACGGACGCGTCGAGTTATATTCTTGGCGATCGGGGTGCCCAATAGTTCAGAGTCCGAAAACTGACGCCTGAGGGAGCGTCAGCAAGTACCTCTTCCGATGAGCACACGAGACAGAAGTACTCACCTTCGTACGTTGTCCGGGTAGAATATTGGTGCCACATCAGGGACATAACTCCATACACGGAGCAGATGATGGGACCTCATAGTCGAGGCAACGGTCGCTACTTTGTTCAGCTCACTGTTCTGTATATCCTCGGCTGAGGACGCCGAGGAAGATTCTGAAGGAAACATTAGATATTGATGCGAATACGGAGCCTGGCTGAGCGGCACAGCCTGTGCAATTCCCCACAGATCCACAACGATAGGCTCCTACGTTCTGATGAGATGCTATATCGCCGGGGCGGGGTGGTTAACAATGGTATGACGAGGTCACTCGCCTCCTCATGCTGCTGCCGATCCTGCAGTGACATTCTTCA